CCAATAACTTGGTTTCAATCGTTTTTTATTGATATTCTTCATGTGATTTTTGTGACATGAGAAATCCATCAAGTTAAAAATTTCTCGATTCCTTTGGGAACTAAAATTCTATGTATATGAATCAAAGATTGTCCCTTTGTTTCAACAATTTCGTTTTAGTTGTGAAACTGATTTCGAAGAGAAGAATCACTCACTAATGGAAAGCAAAGTGAAGAAACTCTGCAATTTACTTTATGAGGTTTGTTTATTATTTTACATATTTTATTTCCTTCGTAAGCTTATCAGATATTTTAGTTGTGATTGAACTATCATGATTTCACTTTATTTAGACACTCAAAAACAGAGAAGAAACAAGCTTTGGCATTTGAAGATATGGAAACAGAGGAAGAAGCTCATACAGAATCAGAAAGTGGTCGTCACGACGATTGCAACATTCCACTGAATCGAACAATGGGGAACAGAGAAAGGTTATTATTGTACTGACACATTAAACTTTTTTGTTGCTTTTTTTTTCCTACTTGTAGGAGTACAAATGCGAGACATGTGGGAACTATAGCTATGCAGGGAAGAGGGATTTTGAGAGACTTTTTAACGAATGGCGTCACCAATTCGGATTGCGTCGCACTGAGAAGCTCAACAGAATAACTTCGATTAAGGTACTCTATATCTCAACATTTTCTTGCTAGCTTAAAACAATACTTGTGTAACTTGAGTTGTGATTGTTTGTTTCACAAGGCTGATGGGAATATTGGACCACTTGCTTGCTCACAATCAACGGATCAAGAAACCGAAATGAAGAGTTCTAATAAAGTTCCGGCGGGTGTAGCAATTCCACCTCCAGATATTAGAAGTGTGGTCAAGAGAACCGAGCATATACTTTCAATAAAAGATTCGGAGTTTGAGAGGAGGATCATAGACATATATGGGAATCATGCACTATTCAAATTTTTGTAGAGCTATGATCTTTATCACTTCCTTCCAGCACAAGCTAGCCAAATACCGCGCTCAGAATCAAGAATATCCAGCTCGTGCTACTACACGTACCCAATCTTGAGAATTGTCTCCATCGTCTTCAATGGGATGGTTTCTGGATGGAGCATTGGAAGAAAGCAAAGGACAAGAAGGGACCGAAGATGGCCAGGATTGATGACGCATTTGGGCACCTTGTTGTGATGAGGGAAATGGCTCTTCGTCCAGCAAAACCAGACCCAAACAGACCAAAGATTGACGAGTCAGAACTTGTTTGCTCAACAACCTCCGGAAATGTTTTCTCCAGTCATTTCTTGTTTTTATTTCTTCCGAGTTGTGGTTTTATATCATGAATGATTTTACGTTTTCAGGGTTGTGCAACAATATGGATTTATGTTCACAGTGCAGTCGTTATCCGAAACCGTGGCGACTTTGAATTAGAAAATAGATCGGGAGGTAGATCTTTAGTAAGCAAACAGAAGATTAGCGGAAAAACCGGAGTTTTAAAGGACAACAAATCACTTGCATGGAGAAATGCTAACAATGTCTTTGGAATGGATGCAAGGAAAATAATGCTTTGTAAGGGATGTTTAAATTGGTGGCCAAAAACTTCTCTACTCTGCGATAAAGTATGATTATTACTCTTGACTTATGTTTATGTGTGTTGGCTGTGTAATTATCTCTGTACACCCATAAGCGTATGCATAACATATATGATTCTGCTATAAATTAGTATGTTTTCTTCTACCTATGATATTCATATATGAACCGTGTTGAGTCTTCTTTCTGATGCTTATAACTGTTTGCTTCCTTTGTTTGTTTTTACTCTTTTGATTCTTAGGCACCCGAAAATGAATGAAAGTGGCTACCAAGAAAAACTGGCATGCTCTTAACTTTTCCCTTAAGCACTAGCATTTATAATGTTCTCAAAGTTTCAAGTTTTGCTGGTTTCTTTTTAGATTTGTGGTTTTCTACGCAAAATTACGAGTCCTTTGTTTGAGAGATAGCTAAAGGAATTTGGTATCGGGTGGAGCTTTGCCTGAAAGACATAAGCGTATCTTTAAACAGAGACTGAAGGTTCCACCAGCTCTTACCCAGTTCACCAAGACTGGTCAAAAGAACCTTGGTAATACTCTTATGAGTCACTCACTTTGTTATGGTTATTACTTTTTAGAATTCTATATTTCTCTTAGGTTTGAATTATCAGTTGCTTAATGTATCATGTATTCGTAATTCACAGGAACCGGCCTATTCAAAATTTTCTTGAAGTAGAGGCTAGAGAACAAAGAAAGACCACCTTTTGAAGACGGCTCAAGCCAAGCTTGAGGGACATTGGGAAATCCTTCTGAAGCCAAAAAGCCTATCTTGGTGAAGTATGGACTCAACCACGTCAACAAGGCTCAACTTGTGGTGATTGCACATAATGTTCACTCTACCGAGTTGGTTGTTTCATTACCTGCATTGTGTAGGAAAAAGAAAGTCCCTTACTGCATATAAGGGAGCGTTAATATAATTCACCACCATGGATCTAGACCCTATTAAAGTTTTGCTTCTTAACTTCAACCTGGTTTATGTCTATTCTCGTTTTTTTTTCCAGGTCGTTCCGCAAAAGACGACTATTGCTTACTTGTGTTTGACCATCGTGAAGAATGAGGACACGATGGAGCTGAAATCATGGAGGTCGTCAAGATAACAAGCCGACTGAAATCGGGAGGTAAAATGCTGCAAGAACATGGAGACTTAACCATATCTTCAATTAGTTACAACGAGTACAGAAAGAAGTGGGGAAAGAGGTATAATGGGATTCAAGTCTCAAGCCAAGACCAAAGCTAAGGAGGTTCTCCAGAGGTCCTCAACATCTCCTTTTGTTCTCGTTTAGGAAACTTATGATCATGACTTTTTTTAGCGATTACATGAAACTTTATTTTTATTTTAAGTTTTACGCTCCTACAGATGTCGAACAGTTGATAGTTTTATGCAGTTTTGTTATCCCGCTCGCTTATAAGCTTTTGAATATTGATTCGTACTTTTACGGGGGCTTCTTAAGTTTTAAGTAATAATTTTCGCCACGTTATAATATTATTAGATAAGTTTAGGTTAAGTTGTGGATATTGGTGAAAAGTCAGAACAAAAACAATTGCAAAAATGCTATAATCATATGATCCGTTCAACCGATGGTTTCTACATTCTTCAGAAGCTTCTCTTTGTTGGATTTACTTTCGGAAGCCGAAGCACACCGATATATGCACAACAAAGGTGTAGTAATAATCTAAAATGTTTAAGATTGCAAAGAGATTGAGTATGATGTAAACCCATTTTTGGATTATGTAAAAGACTGAGTGGAATAAATTGGATGGAAGATATTCATCAGGAAAAAATCTGCGCGTATGCGCGAGTACTAACCTAGTATATATGAAAGAAGAAGGAACCCTCTCCATCCTTTCGACATGTTATCATATAAATTTCTGCCACATGTACAATTTAAAGTAATCTCGATTGAAGCTCTTCAGCTTTTGTCGACATTCCTTTCATCTTCCTTCGAACATTTATTCAGCCTTTAGGAATACGAAAAGAAATCGAAACCAAAGCAATTCGGTTTGAAACATTATTCGAGGACTGTATTCGGATGAGGGTACAACTCAAATTTCCCTTTGCAAATTGTAATGATTTCTATGCAAAATCTATTGAATCAGTCGACTAAGATATATCGAAGAGAAGCAACTTGCGTCAATTCTCTACTTTTAAATCAGTTACGATATTAGTATTTAAATATGATGTTTGCAGGTTTCAATGAAAAAAGGTACGAATAGATGGGCTTAGGAGCTTGAGAATTGGAAGTATCAACAAAATGGACCATAGTAAAATACGAATACAAGAGTTTCTGCATATCTTCTTTAATTGGTTTTTAATTACATTTCAACATTCATGGTTATATATTTTTTTATGTTGCCGGTAATTGATTTAGAAGACAATACTAAAATCACTCTCTCATTTTTTGTCAACAAGACACAACTGGAACTTAGATTGATTATGGTCCAGTCAGTGGATTAGGATGGAGCATAAGAGACCATACGGGACTCCTTACCTTCGGCATGAGGGGTTGTAGATGAAGCATATCGGCTCTCCATGCTGAGTTCGACGAGCTGCTTTGGACGATGGAGTGTCTAAGCAAGAGGGGCCTATTCTCAGTGAGAATTGAGACGGACTGTGCAAGCCTGATTTCCATGACTATGCATCCACTACATTGACCATCTTTCAGTACGGAGCTTGACTGGTTCATCACGCTAAGACAATC